GAATCTTTGATTTCAAACGTCTAGACTCAAACTTTCTCACGTCACGTGAGACGCAAACGACACTGTATAAAACGTACCAAACTCTGAGTGCCAGGGCGCTTCTGTCGGCGCGACATGATCTTGTTCTAGACTCTGGTCACTCTTACACTGTTCCAAACATGCACAACCCATTCGCAGCTTGACATCTTTGGGTCGTTTCTTGTGTAGAAGCTGCGCAATCCATTACAGTGAAACTCAGTGTAGTCGCATTTCTAATTCTAACGACAAAATGCCGAATTACTCATTCGTCCTCTCATACAGCTTTGGCCGCGCTGCATGCAAAACAAGGCTCATACATTGACTCATACGCTGCGTCACGTAGCATGGTGCTTCACTCATCCCGGTCGGCAAAACGTGCATGCCCTCAACTTCTTCTCAATCGCCCGCATGGAGTGCACCGCTGCTGCACTGTCAAGTTTCCCGCAAGCTTTCTTGTGATAGCACTTCCCGTGAAACTGCGCAACCCACATCAAAGGATCAGGATGACCATCTTCGGATTCACTGGCCAACAACTGGTTCCATGCATCCGCGCTCACACTGCTTTCACTGCCACTGCGTTCATGTAGTTGCGCGCTCGCGGGGGGATTCACCGAACTGCTTGCACCACGCATGCAAAGAAAAATCGAACACTCTGCTCTGTCCATCTCGGCTCTGTACTGCTTCACGTTTACATTCTCAGGCTCATCATGAACATCATCTTTGTCATCACGCTTCGGGGGCTTTGACTTGAGTTTTGACTTTGCTCCACGATGTTGGGGACTTGAAACATCCGCCTCACAATCATGATCATCAGACCTTGCCCTACTGGTTCTCCCGAATGTATAGCACCATACCACTGCACCCATGAGCATCACAACAACCATCACAATGCCCCATAGGATGGCAATCTGCACAATGGTATCCGGGCTCAAATGAATGATCATGCCGCTGAAATCATCTCGGTCGCGATCTGTGTGCATGCCGCAGACGGGGCCCAAGGCGTCACCAAGTAGAACCATCCCAATCAATCTACGAATCTGCGTCTTCGTAAGCTTGCCCAAAACGGCTTTCCCGTGCTTCACTGCCTTCTGCTCTTCAAACTGTCTACGCTCTTCCTCTCCTACCAAACAATCAAGTTCACAATCGAAGATGCCACAAAGGTTGAGCAAGAGATTGATGCGGGCCCTCGACAAGCCCTTTGTGCCTAAATCTGCCGTGTTGATTTTCGTGTCCACCTTGTTCAATGAAATCCTGCGCGTTTGACGGCTTCCTGTGTCCATAAAATTCGGCATGACAAATGTCTCACTTTTCCGATCCCTGAACGTTTAAGGACTCCAAGCCCTGCAGCCGAGTCCATGAAGTGGTTTACCGTCACCGAGGAGCCAGTTGCAAAGTCGAGGAGCGTCTTCACCATCAATCCATCAATCATCGTACTTGTCCCTGCATGTACCTCGGCTTCTGCTGAGGATAGCGATATCACCTTCTGCGTTCTCGATGCCGAAAACATCAGGCTTCCTCCCATGTACACCATAGACGATGTGACAGACTTTCGCGTTGCTTTGTTCGAAGCCCAATCACTGTCACTCAATGTTTCAACTGGAATCACATCCTCATACTGGCCCATGAGACCTTCTCCCTCACGCGCTCTACCGAGTCTTACTGCATGATGCCGTGCATGTAGCAAATACTTCCCTAAATGTCTCAAAGAACACATAGTCCTTCGTGTAGGAGCACTCATGCAACTTGCCAATGCTCTAATCGCATTCTGTGACTCGACCAGCTCGGGACTGAGATACAGGAGTATCCCAACTGCAGACCGGTAAACGGTCGACTCAGCGCCGTCCAAAGGTGCTGAGTAGTCAGGCTCATCGAGTTTTGGGTCATAGGGGATCTTTTTCGGGTGATCTGATTCCTTGATGGACAGGAGCTGGAACAGCTTGTCAAAGTGTTTTACATGCGGGCATATGAGCATCTGTGTCGGGGACGTCAAGATGAACTTCTTCTTTAAGAAATGAACACTTCCACCTACTTCGAGAATGTTCACTGAGATCTTGTATCGCTTCTTGAGCTTCGGGATAATGTCTCTCATCAGTCTCTCACGCTCACACCCTGACATGATGTCATCAACATGAAGGTGCATGAGACAATCTCGCGAAGCTGAACGAAGAAGGACGGGATAACTTGGGCATACTTCAACTGCAATCTCCTCCTTCAAATAGTCTGTGAATGATTCATACCAATCTCGTGATCCGCACCTTTGACCTGGCAGAACCTTTCCCAACGAAAACATCGTTTCATTTCCATCCTTGTCTATGTACGAAACTAGGGTAGCTTCAAGCTGATCCACTGTGAGGAATGCGTCAGAGATGTCGATTGTTGCCAACACCCAGTCTGGATTCTGTAGCACCAACATCGGCAAGACCCGATGCGCAATAGACGACGAAGCTGGACTAAAAAGATCTTCTCGCTCACTCAACCATGCGAACTCTCTAGCTACGTAGCGGCTCCTACGCAACCAAATCTGTTCACCGGCGGGCGTTGACTTCTCACGCCATGTCCTGACCATCTTTGTGGATAGCCTCTTGACTGGGCCACCCGTGTCATTCACGGTCTCCGGCGGGAGCAAAACTCCCATCTTCTTGAGTCGATTGAGCTCATGTTGATCCGCAATGTCATCTAACTCTCGCAGTCTGTCTTCTGTCATCTGTGGCTC